TACTATATATATATATATATATATATATATATATATATATGTAGTATTTTCCTTAATGTACTCAACATTCAGTGCACACTCATTACCCTTGGTTTGTAATATAACATTTTCCGAGCAAAGGTATTTTTCGTTATTAGGAGGGGAAGAATAGATATTGTTATAAGAAATTAGTGACATTTTATTAGTGGTGAAAAATAATTAGTGCTCCATATGATGTCATACCTTATGTGGATGATGTCATTTTTCACTAAAATCAATAAGTGCTTTTCTTTTTATCAAAAAATACTACTACTTAAAATACCCCTAGACAAACAAATTACTAAATTATTGGGTAAGGGTATCAAGCGTCCAAAATGTTGGCTACATTAAGGAAGTACTCCATGTGTAGTACCCTAACAAAACCTATATTATATATATATAAAAGGTCATGTGATTGTATGATCCATTAGGTACATACTCCCTCAGATAATATTTTGTTTAGGATATGTAAAATAATTAGAATGCATTTTTTCTTTAAATATATTCTTGTGGTTGATCCCAAACATTTTATCTAGAAAATACCAATTAGTAGGTCCATATTTTGATGTTGTGACGATGCAGTTTGCTCCGATGGGAGCATGATTTTCCAAAATAAAGTGGTTTATTGGGAGCATTTATGGAAGCATTTAGTGGTGTACCATGGGTCCTACAATTATTTTGACTTTTTCCAAAATAGCCAATATCATAAACGCAAATTACAAGAGTCATTTATCCTACAATTATGTTTGACATTTTTCAATATAGTCAGTATTTTAAAGCAAATAACAAGAGAGTTCTCTATCAATTTATAAAATGTATCACTAATTTCAAACTTTCTAAATCACCGATGGTGTTGGTGCATATGTGGCATGCGAGAGATGTCACATGTTTGGTTGTATGAATGCGTGTTGGTAAAGCTACCAATAGGTTGTACCTATAATGAATATTATTTTAGTTAAACTTCGCCGTCAAATCTTTATTGGATGATTGAAAACGTACGTCGCTATTTGAATTTTAATATTATTCTACAAATAGGTTGAAGCTAAAAATATTTAGGTGTATATAATTGACGCCATCATGCACCATATAAACATATTGTAAAAATTTAAAATGACCAAATTACAAAATAACAGTGACTACAAATAGTGACATGCATATTCAACTATCCAATCAAGATCTGACGGCTAGGAGTTTAACTTATACTACTATTCATTATAGGTACAACTTATTGGTAGATTTTTCATATATATCTAACGCGACCGGGTTCATAGAACACGTGGCAAATAAGAAATATATTTAGAGGTTTGAATCGTCAGGTTCAGACATGTTATTTGTTTAGGAAAGTTGACTATATTCGTATTAATGTATAATAAAATGTACAAAAGATTGGGCCCTCTGAAAGAGCACCCTTTACTGCCCCGAAGGGTTCAAAAAATGATACATAGGTGGAAATCTACTCCAAGGAGATAGGTGGGGGTCTGCAAAAATCTAAAGCCCCACCGAGGTGTTAGAATAGGCTCCCTCTTTAGCAAAGATGG